CCCCCTCACCAGCTCCCTCAACAAAATGACGACTCAAAATGGCACGATTTCGTGCAACACCGTGGCCATCTCATATCATATAATTGCGCTCACACCGTCAACTGGATACCGTAGTCTCCCAGTTGGCAGCCACCTATTGAGTTTGTGGTGATCGGTTAGCCCGTATAACAGCATCAAACACACCAGATGTTGTTACATTAATTTGTATTCCTGTGAAATGCCTTGTGCTTACAGTACAAACTCTGGTAATGGAAGTCAAATGCAAAATAAAGACATAAGATGAAACAATTAGAGAGGGGATTTCGTGAGTTGGGCTCTCTCATCTACATCCCTCCTATCTGCACCTGGATCCACGTGTGCTTTCGTAATCTCCAGAATGGCCCTCAGTCGTTCCGCTCTTTTCCTCGTACCTCGAGTCGGCTCAGTCTTCTACAAATGCAAACGAGGATGAACAACTAACATCACTGACAACAACCAACGCATGCATCTCCTTACAGTCACCCTAATTGAGGTAGATGACATGAAAGAGTGCACACTGACTTATTCGCTTGCATTACCTCTAAAATCACCCTGCATACTTCCATCCCACCACAACCGATGAAGTTTTCGCACGCCTCGAGACTATTTGTAAGTAGTCTTTCCAGAGCGCCAATAACATTCACAGTTTGGCCCCGCATCTCCTCAAATTCGCCGAGATAGGAGAGCTTGTCATCATTCTGCTGAGTTAGCCAATCCTCCATGAAATCCTTAGAGAGGTACAATTCCGCTGCACTTTTAACCAAACTCTGCATGCACCCTGAATTCGTGATGATTTCTTTCAATTCTCCCTCCGACATCTACAACAAGCAAAGATACTCGCTGACACTAGCCCAGAGTCTCGTTGTCGGCAACTTCGCAATTCATGAACACTGACAAGCAAATTAATAAGGAGGGAAACTAGCAAACAGAAGGGTGTCTCCGAACTGTCACTTATAGGCAGTGACTGTGGTTAGGAGAGCAATTGGCTGACACTTCTGACTAAATTTCCTCAAACAAATAGGTTGCTACCTCTCTACCGAGTAACTAGACATGCCACACTCACCCTCTCGAAGATTTCAATTAGACGCGCCAAAGCGAAGGCCTTTGTTTTGGGACATCTAAAATGCCGTACTAATCTGAGGAGGGCATTACAGCATCGGACACAATCGACCACCTAAGGTAG